ATCCCTCCCCCCCCCCCCTTTAAATTTTTTTAGGTACCGCCCGCAAAGGCAATTTTTTTTTTTTTTTTTTCCCCTTCTCCCTTTCCCCCTCTTACATGGGGGGCCCCGCCCTTTATTTAAATCTTTCGCCCCCCTTTTAAGGTGGCCACCCCCCTTTTCCTAAACCCCTCCTCTTTCCCACACAACAAAACCGCCGCGGTGCGCTGTCACCCCCCCTCCCACCCCCCCATTTACCCCCTTTTTTTTTTTTTTTTTTTATTGTTTCCCCCTGTTTCCATTAACGGAGGGCCTGGGAGGACCCTGGCTTCTCGGTGATTGAAGAATAGAAGCAGGCAACCCCCCCCCCCCCCCCCGCAGGTGGCTAATGGAGTGGAACTGTGAGCGCGGCTTCCTAATCAGATCAGCTCTCATTTCCACACTCTCCGGTGGCCCGTCCCGGCAGAAGAGGGTGAAAACCAATGCTCGTCCGGCCGGGAACAGAACAGGATGTACCTGAAGACTGGATTCCCGCGGGCAGCAGGCCCTGCCCATCAGAGCAGGTGGTAAACATCACCAAGAACAGGGAGAGCAATACAGCAGGGCTACAGAGAAGGCAGAGGACATGGTTTCCAAAGTCAGTTCCCTTTATTAAATGATTTTTTTTTCCACAGACCAGAAATACAAAATAAAAGTAGAAATAGGCCCCAGTTAGGAGCTACAGGCCTGAGCTCACATGACCCCTGTGGCAGCAACTTGAACAGGACAAGCAGCTATATCCCTCAGGTCGGGAAAGGAGGACAAGGGTTTGAACCCAGCACTGCCCTGTCTCTCCCCAAACTATGAAGAGCCATCCTTGTGAAGCAGCAGGGGAGTAAGACACCCCCGCTGTCCCAGTGAAGTGCATCCCCCCAGGAGAATCCAAAGGCTACATTTCGTATGAGAAACTGGTACAAAAACATGGGTGGGGAGGCCAGGGGGGTGACAGGACAAGCCCAAGGAGAGAGAATTTTCCTCCTCTCTACTCATCAGATCCGGACGCAGAGTCTTCTGAGCTGGGGGGCGTGCTGGCTAGTTCCTCTTCTTCAGAGTCCTGAAAACCAAATGTCTCTTTAGGGAAAAGGTAGAATCCCAGTTGCCCTCCTGGCACTGTTCAGTGGTGAAGGGCCCCAGTTCCCTATCCCCATCCCTAAACTCCAACACTAGCCTTCAGAACCCCAGAATTCCACCTATCCACTCCATCCCAGTACTCTTATGGACCAGCCACAAACCTCAGCCCAGAAACATCTGCCACCTCCCACCCCGAACTCAGATGCCCCTCACCCTGCCAGGCCCCCCAGCCACCAAACTCCTGCCGCACCTCACTCCGCCTTCTCTTCTTTTTGCTCTTGTTCTCTCCTGAAGAGCTGTCGTCACTGGTCACAAACTCTTTGCTCTTGAAGCTCTCACTGAGCTGCCTTGATGATGACTTGGATGATGAGCCCTTAGAGGGTGTTGACTTCTTTTCCATCTTTACCTTTACTTTCTTCTTCTTCTTTGACTTGTCCCTACATTAGCAAGAGGGCAAAGGGGCTAGGCCTTCAGGTTCATCAAGGCCTTTAACAGGGCCTCTCAAGGTCCCAGCCATACTGCACTATAAACATCAACAGCCAGCCATGTCAGCCCCAAGGGCCCCAAGGAAAAGCAGAAGATGTAGGGGTCATAACCTGGACACAGGCAAAACTTATTTATTTGACATCTCTTGCTTTATCTTTAAAAATTAATTACATGAATGATATAATATGTATTTAAATATCCCATACCTTCATATAAAATTGACCCTCTAGGAAAATGGGCCACAATTATCCAGCACATCACCCATACTTGGGCAACTGCCTACCCAGATTTGAGAAGCACTGCCATACTGCAATCATAGGTATCTCTATTACCTTTAACACCCTAATTCTCAACTTGGACCTGCAAAAATATTTGCCAAAAAAAGCAGTTACTGGGCCATTCTGTTCCCAACACTCACCTCTTAGAAGACTCACCCCTGCCCCCTTCATATTCTTTCATGGCTTTTTCATATTCCCTCCTGGCATCCTCAGCTTTGCGATCCCACTCCTGACACACACACACACACCGTGGGGGGGTGGGGGGGGAGGTTGAGAGAGAACAGAGAATGAGATCCCTTCCCTGATGCAGGCAAAACCCATACAGAAAAGTTCTGCCAACGGCCCCTTGCCCCCTTTCTCAATTACAAGATTCACCACCCCTCATCTCTGCGGCTACTCACCTCTTTCTTCTCTTTGGACATTGCCTTCCAGATCTCGCCTGCCTTCTTGGAAAGATCAGTGATACTGATGCCGGGGTGGTCTGACTTGATCTTCTCTCGGCTGGCATTGAGCCACAGCATGTAGGCAGACATGGGCCTCTTGGGGGCATTGGGGTCTTTGCCCTTCTTCACCTGCACAACCACCCAATGCCTTCAGCCACCTATATCCCACAGACCCCCACATTCTCCCAAAGCAATTATTTGGATCACCTACCTTGGGACAAATGGAGAAAGGACTAAACAGCATCAACTACACTGAGAGCTCCCTAAGGACAGGGACCATGAGAGCTCTGCACCCCA